GTTGGGTAACAACCCTCCTGGGAGGGAATACCCTTTCAGGGTTGGTAAACCATCCTGGGGGGGAATCCCCTCCTGTATGTTGGTAACAACCCCACCCTGGGAGGTAATACCCTCGTGCAGGGTTGGTAGACAACCCCTGGGAGGAAATACCCCCCTTCAGGTTGGAAAACAACCACCTGGGAGGTAATCCCCCCTGTCAGGGTTTGGGTAGACAACAACCTCCGGGGAGGTAATACCCCCTGTCATGGTTGGTAACAACCCCCTGGGGGGGAAAATCCCTCCTGTCAGGGTTTGGGAGACAACAACCTCCTGGGGGTAATCCCCTCCTTCAGGGTTGGTAGAAAACCATCCTGGGAGGTACACCCTCCTTCAGGGTTTGGGTAACAAAAACCCATCCGGGGAGGTATTACCTCCGTCTGGTTGGTAGACAACAACCACCCTGGGGGGTACACCCCCCCCTTTCAGGGTTGGTAGACAACAACCCCCTGGGGGGTAAACCCTCCTTCAGGTTTAAAAAACCATCCTGGGGGGTAATACCCCCCTGTATGGTTGGTAAAACAACCACCGGGAGAAAAATACCCCCCCTGCAGGGTTTGGGTAACCCCACCCTTTGGGGGTACTACCTCCGTCTGGTTTAGACAACAACCACCGGGGAGGTCTACCCTCCTGTCAGGGTTGGTAGACAACAACCATCCGGGGTACTACCCTCCTGTCATGGTTGGTAGAAACAACCACCGGGGGAGGTACTACCCCCCGTCAGGGTTTGGGTAACAAAAACCCCCCTGGAGGAAAATACCCCCCTTCCAGGTTGGTAGACAACAACCACCGGGAGGTACTCCCTCCTGTCAGGGTTTGGGTAGACAACAACCTTTCCTGGGGGGTACACCCCTCCTGTCAGGGTTTGGTAGACAACAACCACCTGGGGGGTACTACCCTCCGTCTGGTTGGTAGACAAAAACCATCCGGGGAGGTAATCCCTCCTGTATGGTTGGTAGACAAAAAAACCACCTGGGAGGTATACCCTCCGTCATGGTTGGTAGACAAAAAACCATTGGGGGTACTACCCCCTGTCATGGTTGGTAAAACAAAAACCATCCTTGGAGGTACTACCTCCGTCATTTTTGTAGAAAAACCCATCCGGGGAGGTAAACCCTCCTTCTGGTTGGTAGAAAAACAACCATCCGGGGGTCTCCCCTCCGGTCATGTTGGAAACAACAACCAAGGGGGGACTACCCCCCTGGTCAGGTTTTGGTAGACAACAACCACCGGGGGAGGTACTACCCTCCTGTCATGGTTGGTAAAAAAACCATCCTGGGAGGTAATCCCTCCTGTCATGGTTGGGTAGAAAACAACCATCCTGGAGTAAACCCTCCTGTCAGGGTTGGTAACAAAAACCATCCGGGAGGACTACCCCCCTTTCAGGGTTGGTGACAAAAACCCATCCGGGGAGGTACTCCCCTCCTGTAGGTTTGGTAACAAAAAAACCCATCCTGGGGGGTACTCCCTTACCCTCTCAGTATATAAAACCCTGAATACACAAAAAATGTCTTTTTTAACGACTAAAAAAAATCCACAAAACACACCATTAAAAACCACACATAATACCAACAATACCATAAAATACCAACCCCTCCCAAAAATTAATACCAAAACCTTAATAATACCAACAATCCCCAGAATAATCCAACAATACCAGGAAAACATCAGTCAAGAATGCTGTGACCTTTTCCTGCCTCCCATGACACCACGGGGGTCCCCTAAGGGGTTTAGAGCTCCACTTGCATATAAATTTACTCGGCCTCTGGACAAAGTGATCCTCAGGATAATTTTCTGGCTCCAAATTTAAAAATTTCGCAATCTTGCACTAAAAGGCCCCAGAAAAATTTTACCGGCCAAGCCTGGGCTTCATGCCTATCACCCCCCTTTTCCTTCTAAACCTAAAATAAACTTGTTTTTCCTACGTTCAAAAGGAACGTCATATATATATATATTATTTTTATAAAATTATATTTATAAATTATTATATATAAAATATATTTATAATTTATGTAAAGCCCTACAGAAGTAGGTCCCGGGTGTTAGTTGACTGTTATAGGTGCCACATGGGATTATAGATCACCTATGAAAGAATTTGGGGATGAGCTGGACTCTGATTTCAAATCTTTTTGCTATGTAAATTAAGATTTGTAAATGAAAATCAATTATTTACCTTTTTGGCACTAGTTTACAGTCGTGAAACTAGCTGTGACGGGGTGTGCCTGAATCCCAGAGAGTGCCTTAAGTGCCTGGGTTTGTCTGAGAGTACCGGGTTGGGTGTCTGAGAGTACCCTGGGGGGGTCTAAAGGTACTGGGTGTTCTGAGAGTAGCTGGTGTGTCTGAGATACCTGGGTGTTCGGGAATACCTGGGTGTGTCTGAGAGTACCTGGGTGTCTGGTACCGGGGTGTGTCGAGAGTACCGGGGGTTTTCGAAGACCAGAGAGGCCTGAAGTACCGGGGTTGTCTGAGGTACCAAGAGTGCCGAGAGTCCTGGGTGGGGCTGAGAGTAGCTGGGTGTGTCTGAGAGTCCCGGGGTGTGTCTGAGGTACCTGGGTGTGTTAGAGTACCTGGGTGTTCTAAGCACCTGGGTGTTCTGAGAGTCCCGGGTTGTCTGAGAGCACCGGTGTCCCTGGAGACCTGGGTGTGCCTGAAAAAGGCTGGTTGTCTGAGAGTCCCGGGGTGTGCTGAGAGCCCTGGGTGTGCCCGAGTCCGGGTGTGTCTGAAGCCCTGGGTGTGTCTAGATACCGGGGTTGGCTGAAGTAGCTGGGTTGTCTTGAAGTACCGGGGTGTCTGAGAGTACCGGGGTGTGTTGAGAGTCCCTGGTGTGCGAGAGTCCCGGGTGTATTGAAGTACCGGGGTGTGCGAAGCCCTGGGGTGTCTGAAAGTACCGGGTGTGTCTGAAGCCCCTGGTGTGTCTGAAGTCCTGGGTGTCCCTGAAGTAGCTGGTGTGTCAGAGTACCGGGGTTGTCTGAGATCCCGGGGTGTGTTGAGAGTACCTGGGGGGCTGAAGTACCTGGGTGTATCTGAGAGTACCTGGGTGTGCCTGAAGCCCCTTGTGTCTGAGAGTACCGGGGATCCTAGAGTACTAGGGGCCTAGAGTCCCGGGTGTGTCGGGAACCCCGGGGTTTGAAGTACCGGGGATGCCCAGAGTACCGGGTGTGCATGAGAGCACCTGGTGGTCTGAGAGTACCGGGGTGTGCCGAGGTACGGGGCCGAGAGTACCGGGGTGTGTCTAGGTACCGGGGTGTGGCCTGAGAGTACCTGGGTGTGTTTGAGAGCCCCGGGGTGTGTCTAAGTACCTGGGTGTTCCCCTGAAGACCGGGGTGTGCCTGAGAGTACCTGGGTGTCCTAAAGGTACCTGGGGGTCTGAGGACCTGGGAGTGCCCGAGAGTACCGGGTGTCCTAAGCCGGGGGGGCTAAAGGTACCGGGGGTTTGTTCTAGAGCACCGGGTGTGTCTGAGATACCTGGGAGGCCCGAGAGTACCGAATCCTGGTCTACCGGGGTGGCCCCAGAGTCCCGGGGAGTCTTGAGAGTACCTGGAGTGCCTGGATACCTGATGGCCGGAGTCCCCGGGGTGTGCTAAGCACCTGGGTGTTGAGAGTCCTGGGTGTCCCTGAGATTCGGGGTTGTGTCTGAGAGTACCTGGGTGTGTCGAGAGACCGGGTTTTTTAGAGTCCCGGGTGGTCTGAAGTACCTGGGTGTATCTGAGATACCTGGGTGTCCCCTAAAGGCCCCTGGTGTGTCTGAGAGTACCTGGGGTGCCTGAGAGTAGCGAGTGGCCTAGAGTACCTGGGTGTGTCTGAAGCACCGGGGTGTGTCGGGCGTCCTGGATGTCGAAGCACCTGGTGGTCTGAGAGTACCGGGGTGTGTCTGAAGTACCTGGGTGTGCCTTTGGAACCTGGGTGTCCCTGAAGCACCGGGGTTGTCTAGGTACCGGGGTTGCCTGAGAGTACCTGGGTTGCCCTAAAGTCCCCTGGGTGTTCTGAAGTACCTGGGGTGCTGAGATACCGGGTGTCTGAAATACCGGGGTGTAGGAGACCTGGGTGTCCTGAGGCCCTGGGTGGTCTGAATACCTGGGAGTGCCGAGAGTAGCTGAGGGGCCCTGAGAGTCCTGGGTGTGTCTGAGAGCACCTGGGTGGTCTGAAGTCCCTGGGGGGTTTTGAGACACCTGGGTGTGTCTGAGATTCCGGGGTGTGTCGAGAGTACCGGGGTGTCCTGAGAACCTGGGTGTGCCTGAAGTCCCTGGTGTGTCTGAGAGTACCGGGGTGTGCTGAGAGTACCTGGGTGGGCTGAGAGTACCGGGGTGTCCCTGAGAGTACCTTGGTGTGCCTGAAGTCCCTGGGTGTGTCTGAGAGTCCCGGGGTTTGGTCTGAGATTCCTGGGGTGCCTGAGAGAAACCTGGTGTTCTGAAACCTGGGTGGTCGAAGCACCGGGGTGTGTCTGAAGTACCGGGGAGTGCCCAAGTCCCTAAAGGGGCCCGGTACTGGCCCTGAGAGACCTGGGAGGCCTGAGAGTACCTGGGGTGCCAGAGTACCAGGTGCCTGAGAGACCGGGGTTGCCGAGAGCACCGGGGAGTACCGAGGGGTACCTATATATATGAAGTCCCAATGCCTGAATACCGGTAGCACATGGGAGTACCGGGAAGTACGGGAAGTACCGTTTTTACCTACATTTCCCTGGGGGTACCCCAACAACTGGGTATTAACTAGCTTGAAAAATAGTACCGAATACGTGTATTTCTAGGTGTCTGAAAAAGGATATACCAGAACATCGTGTATTACTGGGTTCTGAAGCAAGAATTACCAAAAACTACGTGTTTTTCTGGGGGTTCTAAACAATGAAAGTAACGAATTGTGATTACAGGTGTCTGAAGCAATGATAGTACCAAAAAATCGTGTATTATCTAGGGTCTGAAGCAAGAAAAACCCAAAAACTATCGTTATTATCTGGGGAGGTTGAAGACAGTATTTCGGGTTATATTTCCCTTTTGGGAAAAAATCTGACCCCGGTCCAGGGGGGTGGAACCGGGTATGCTTTTCGATGTCAAAAGCACCGGGTTATTGCAGTCTGGTAGACACTGTCGGGTCTAAATCGTTTTCCGAACAGTCGGGGCCCCTCCAACCTTTCTGGCAGACGCAAGAGCCCAGAACACACCATCCGTTACCCGAACAAGTCGGATGTGGACAGTCAACTGTAAGAGATGTCAAGAATTATACCTGAACAATGACTGTTACATTATAGCAAATTGGAACAATTCAAAACTAACTCACAATGGAACACTATGTTGCTACACTATTCTATATGATAGTTACATTGTGGGAACACCAGCAGTGTTGCTACACTATTCTATATGATAGTTACATTGTGGGAACACCAGCAGTGTTGCTACACTATTCTATATGATAGTTACATTGTGGGAACACCAGCAGTGTTGCTACACTATTCTATATGATAGTTACATTGTGGGAACACCAGCAGTGTTGCTACACTATTCTATATGATAGTTACATTGTGGGAACACCAGCAGTGTTGCTACACTATTCTATATGATAGTTACATTGTGGGAACACCAGCAGTGTTGCTACACTATCTTATATGATAGTTACATTGTGGGAACACCAGCAGTGTTTGCTACACTATTCTATATGATAGTTACATTGTGGGAACACCAGCAGTGTTGCTACACTATTCTATATGATAGTTACATTGTGGGAACACCAGCAGTGTGTTGCTACACTATTCTATATGATAGTTACATTGTGGGAACACCAGCAGTGTTGCTACACTATTCTATATGATAGTTACATTGTGGAACACCAGCAGTTGTTGCTACACTATTTATATGATAGTTACATTGTGGGAGCACCAGCAGTGTTGCTACACTATTCTATATGATAGTTACATTGTGGGAACAACAGCAGTGTTGCTACACTATTTCTATATGATAGTTACATTGTGGGAACAACAGCAGTGTTGCTACACTATTCTATATGATGTTACATTGTGGGAACACCAACAGTGTTGCTACACTATTCTATATGATAGTTACATTGTGGGAACACCAGCAGTGTTGCTACACTATTCTATATGATAGTTTACATTGTGGGAACACCAGCAGTGTTGCTACACTATTCTATATGATAGTTACATTGTGGGAACACCAGCAGTGTTGCTACACTATTCTATATGATAGTTACATTGTGGGAACACCAGCAGTGTGTTGCTACACTATTCTATATGATAGTTACATTGTGGGAACACCAGCAGTGTTGCTACACTATTCTATATGATAGTTACATTGTGGGAGCACCAGCAGTGTTGCTACACTATTCTATATGATAGTTACATTGTGGGAACAACAGCAGTGTTGCTACACTATTCTATATGATAGTTACATTGTGGGAACACCAGCAGTGTTGTTACACTATTCTATATGATAGTTACATTGTGGGAACACCAGCAGTGTTGTTACACTATTCTATATGATAGTTACATTGTGGGAACACCAGCAGTGTTGTTACACTATTCTATTATGATAGTTACATTGTGGGAACACCAGCAGTGTTGCTACACTATTCTATATGATAGTTACATTGTGGGAACACCAGCAGTGTTGCTACACTATTCTATATGATAGTTACATTGTGGGAACACCAGCAGTGTTGCTACACTATATGATAGTTACATTGTGGGAACACCAGCAGTGTTGCTACACTATTCTATATGATAGTTACATTGTGGGAACACCAGCAGTGTTGCTACACTATTCTATATGATAGTTACATTGTGGGAACACCAACAGTGTTGCTACACTATTCTATATGATAGTTACATTGTGGGAACACCAGCAGTGTTGCTACACTATTCTATATGATAGTTACATTGTGGGAACACCAACAGTGTGTTGCTGCACTATCAATACTATTACCACCACTACTACTACTACCAGTACTACTGCTACCACCACTACTATACTACTACCACTACTACCACTACTACTACTACCACCACCACTACTACTACCACTACTACTGCTACCACCACCACTACTACCACTACTACCACTACTACTACTACCACTACTACCATTACTACTACCACTACTACCACTACTACTACTACCACTACTACTACCACTACTACCACTACTACTGCTACCACTACTACTACCACTACTACCACTACTACTACCACTACTACTGCTACCACACCACTACTACTACCACTACTACCACTACTACCACTACTACTACTGACCACTACTAACATTACTACTACCACTACTACCACTACTACTACTACCACCACTACTACCACTACTACTGCTACCACCACCACTACTACTACCACTACTACCACTACTACTACCACTACTACTACTACCACTACTACTACCACTACTACTGCTACCACCACCACTACTACTACCACTACTACCACTACTACTACCACTACTACTACTACCACTACTACTACCACTACTACTGCTACCACCACCACTACTACTACCACTACTACCACTACTACTACCACTACTACTACTACCACTACCACTACTACTACCACTACTACTGCTACCACCACCACTACTAATACCACTACTACTACTACCACTACTACCACTACTACTAGTAATAACTCACCAGTCTGACAGAAGTCACCAGTATAGCCCTTGGCACAGTGGCACTGACCATCAATACACTGGCCCTGGCTGTTACAGTCTGGCACCTCACACTCGTGGTGTCGTAGCTGGCACTCCTTCCCCTTGTAGCCAGGGTGGCACCGACACTGCCCGTTCATGTAGTCGCCGTGCCCAGAGCACAGGATTGGGCACAGAACTAGGGAAGGGTATTTAGTGGCATTAGATTCTCCTCCAAAATGTCAAAAGTATTAGTTTTTTTTTTTCAAAGAGATTAGATTTTTTTCTTAATTAGACGCCTATTTAAAAGGATTAGACGCCTATTTAAAAGGATTAGACGCCTATTTAAAAGGATTAGCGCCTATTTAAAAGGAGTAGACGCCTATTTAAAAGGATTAGCGCCTACTTAAAAGGATTAGCGCCTATTTAAAAGGATTAGACGCCTATTTAAAAGGATTAGCGCCTATTTAAAAGGATTAGCGCCTATTTAAAAGGATTAGACGCCTATTTAAAAGGATTAGACGCCTATCTAAAAGGATTAGACACCTATTTAAAAGGATTAGATGCATATTTAAAAGGATTAGATGCATATTTAAAAGGATTAGATGCCTATTTAAAAGGATTAGACGCCTATTTAAAAGGATTAGACGCCTATTTAAAAGGATTAGACGCTTCTTTCAAAAAAATTAGACGTTTCAGTCAAAAGATTTAGACTTTTTTAAAGGATCAGACTTTTTTCCAGAGGATTAGACTTCTTTTCAAAAAATAGACTTTTATTTAAAGAATTAGACGTTT